TCAAGCCCCAGGACTGGCAAAAAAAATTAATAAAAAGTGTTCTAGGGGCTGGGAAGGTGGCTCAGTGGTAGAGCGCTTGCCTTGCATGCATGAGGCCCTAGGTTCCATTCCTCAGCACCACATAAGCAAAAAGAAAAAAGCCAGAAGTGGCGCTGTGGCTCAAGAGCGCTAGCCTTGAGCTGAAGAGCTGAGGGACAGAGCCCAGGGCTAGAGTTCAGGCCCCACGACCGGACCCAAAAAAAAAAAGAATTCTAGCCTTGATGAAGCCAAGCACTGTGGCTCATGCCTATAATCCTAGATACTCAGGAGACTGACATTTGAGGAATACAATTTGAAGTCAGCTTGGGCAGAAAAGTCTGTAAGATTCTTATTCCAATTAACCACCCCAAAACCAGAAGTGGAGCTGTGGCTCAAAATGCTAGAGGGCTAGCCTTGAACAGAAAAGCTCAACGAAAGCACCCAGATCCTGAGTTCAAGTCCTATGACCAAAGGAAAAAAAAGTTGGTTTTTTTTTTTTTTTTGGGTCAGTTGTGGGGCCTGAACTTTGGGCCTGGGCGCTGTCCCTCAGCTCTTCAGCTCAAGGATAACGCTCTACCACTTGTGCCACAGTGCCACTTCTAGTTTTTTCTGCTTATGTGGTGCTGATGAATCAAACCCAGGGCCTCACACATGCAAAGCAAGCATTCTACCACTGAGCCACCTTCCTGGCCCCCCAAAAAGGTATTCTTATACCAAATGAATGCAAATAGAGAATGCTAGAAAGCTTACAAAATGAGGGGAGAATCTCCTATCAAACTCCCGCTGAGCCAGGATTCCTCCCTGTCCAGGGGCACTGGTAGAGCCAATCTGAAAAGAACAAACAGCATTAATGCAAGCATCCAAGTCACCTCATCTGGGAGGTTGGTCCTAAACAACCTAGTTCTAAACATTAGATTTAGTTTCCAAAGCACCCAAGAGTGTTTCAAGATGAAGACGGGCCTAGGAATGGAGCCCAGTAGTGGAGTGCTTGCCTAGTAGGTGTGAAGCCTTGGGTTCAATCCTTAGCATTTCAAAAAAGAAAGAAAGGTATGTAAGAAAAAAGCATAAATCAGGAACCAGGAGACCTAAGAAACACCAATAAGGAGCACTTTTTAGCCAAGCAGACAAGCTATGCAACTGAAATTAAACCTCAATTCTCTTGTCCCAGCCTGAGTAAAACAGCTCACCACTGGCCTCTCTGTAAGGCTAGATGTGTAATGGAATGAAATGATTGCAATTGTTTACTTATTCTAAAGTGAAAATACTCTTCCTCTACTCAAATGAAATGAGAAAGGTTCTGAAAAGTCTAAAGCCCTACCCAAATGTACATTACTAAGGGAGGGTTGGGCCTAGCCAACATTCCTTTGCTTTGAAGAGGAGAATAAGAGTTTGGAGCACATTGCAAACAACTTCACTCTAAGGTGACAGCTAAGACTTTAACTTTGTGTCTATTAACCTATTGAATGCCAGGTATAACCAAGTCCTAAAGTTGACTGAAAGCAGAAATGATATATGTGAAAATATGGCTAGAATTATGAGGATACAATTTCATGTGGTTTATGAAAAAATTCAGAAACTACACTGAGTGTTACAGATTTTTGTTTTGTTTTTGTGCTGGTCCTGGGGCTTGAACTCAGGCCCTGGGCACTGACCCTGAGCTTTTATGCTCAGAGCTGGTTGCTTCTACCACTAGAAGAGTAACACTACTTCCAGTTGTTTGGTGATTAATTGGAGATAAGAGTCTCATGGACTTTCCTGCTGGTTGGCTTCCAACTGTGATCCTCAGATCTCAGTCTCCTGAGCAGCTAGGATTATAGTTGTGACCAATGGTGCCAGGCAAAATATTTATTTTTTTTTTTGTGCCAGTCTGGGGGCTTGAACTCAGGGCTTAGGCACTGTCCCTAAGCTTCTTTGCTCAAGGCTAGAGCTCTATTACTTGAGCCACAGCCCCACTTATGGCTTTTTTTTTGGGGGGAAGGGGGGTAGTTAATTGAAGACAAGAGTCTCATAGGCTTTTTTGCCAGTACTTACTTCCAACTGCAATTGTCTTAGCCTCCTGAGTAGCTAAGAATATAGAAATGAGCCAAAGGTACACAGAGGGACTTTTCTTGAGGACCAGGACAAGGTTTTGGTACTTCCCAGAGTCTAGCATCCTAAAAGTTCAATAAATATCTGGATATTTACATCAATCAATCAAAAAGTAGTTTGCTACTGTTTTTTGTTTGTTTTTTGTCCTGTTGTGGGGCCTGAACTCTGGGCCTGGACGCTGTCCCTCAGCTATTCAGCTCAAGGCTGGAGCTCTACTACTTGAGCCACCTCTCCATTCCCCCCTCCTCTCCTCCCACTCCAACCACTCTATTTCGGAACTTCACAATTTGAATCATACTTCTCTAGGACAAGTTTCTGGTTAACTTATCTCTTTGGAATTTGGTGGCTATTATGGACATTTTCTGTAAGAGTTTTTTTGTCTTGCGCTGGTCCTGGGGCCTGAACTGAGGGTTTGGGGTGCTGTCCTGACCTTTGAATTTGCTCAAGCCTGGTGCTCTAGCACCTGAGGCACAGCTCCACTTCTGGATTTTTTTTTTTTTTTTTTTGGTCGATCGTGGGGCTTGAACTCTGGGTCTGGGCGCTGTCCCTCAGCTCTTCAGCTCAAGGCTAGCACTCTACCACTTGAGCCACAGCACCACTTCTGGCTTTTTTCTTTTTGCTTATGTGGTGCTAAGGAATCGAACCCAGGGCCTCATGCATGCAAGGCAAGCGCTCTACCACTGAGCCACCTTCCCAGCCCCTGGATTTTGATTTTTTTTTTTTAGGTTGTAGGGCTTGAACTCGGCCTGGCCACTGTCATTGAGCTCTTCAGCTCAAAGCAAACACTCTACCACTTGAACCACAGGGCCACTTCCGGTGTTCTGGTGGTTTAGTGAAAATAAGAGTCTCATGGACTTTTCCTGTCTGGGCTGTCTTCGAACCATGATCCTCAGATCTCAGCCTCCTGAGTAGCTAGGATTGATTACAAGCATGAGCCATTGGCACCCGGCAAATAAAAGCTTATTTAATCCAAGTTAGCATCCCACTAAATCTTTTTACTTTTTTTTTTTTTGCCAGTCCTGGAGCTTGAACTCAGGTCCTAGGCACTGTCCTTGAGCCTCTCTGGGCTCAAGGCTAACACTCTACCACTTGAGCACCACTTCTGGCTTTTTCTGCATATGCGTTTCTGAGGAATCGAACCTAGGGCTTCATGCATGCTAGGCAAGCACTCTACCACTAAGCCACATTCCAAGCCCCCCACTAAATTTCTTTTAAAAGTGACTTAGGATTGGGATGTAGCTCAGTAGCATAATATTTGCTTGGCAGGCACAAGGTCCTGGGTTTGATCAGTACCACAAAAAGTAGCACCAAGTATTGAACTCAGGCCTTTGAACTTGCTAAGCAAGAATTCTATTTACCACTTGAACCATGCTCCCAAGACCCACATACCTTTACAAGTATGTATACATCCTCCTAATATAGTATGTTTCAGGGCATGCTCACTCAACTTGTGCCAGTCTGACCCTTACCAAATATATGATAGAATAACCATATAAGACCAGCCTGGTAGAAATTCCCTTGCCTCTTTGCAGGCAATATTCCTCTTCTCTTTCCCCAGCCTGATTACCCACAGCCAAGAGGATACGGAGCAATGCGGTCCCATTTGACATTGAGCATACCAGAGACAATGCCAAAGTCTTCTGGAGGAAAGGAATCATCCGATAATTCCACATCTAGTGCGGCACTAGAAAACAGAGGAAACAAATCAGATCAAGTCAAATCTGCTTGATTCTCCTAAAAATCCAGAACTCAGAAAAAGTCACATAGCACACTTGGCATGCTCTACTGAAAATCCAGATCAAGGTCTGAATTCCATGCTCAGAAGTACCAAGACTCAACAACCCACGAGAGAACGGGTGCAAATCCATTGTTGCCTTAATTTCTCTGATCAAGTAAGGAAAGAAGAAAAGGGCTGGGAAGGTGGCTCAGTGGTAGAGTGCTTGCCTCACATTCATGAGGCCCTGGGTTCGATTCTTCAGCACCACATGAGCAGAAAAAATCAGAAGTGGAGCTGTGGCTCAAGTGGTAGAGTGCTAGCCTTGAGCCTTGAGCTGAGGGACAGCGTCCAAGCCTAGAGTTCAAGCCCCATGAACAACCAAAAAAAGAAGGAAGGAAGAAAAGCCAGATGAATACAGTAGAAAAATTTAAAGGGAATAAGATGAACAGGCTAACAAAAAAAAGGAAGCTGTAACTTTGGATCCCCGAGGTAAAAAGTATTGTGAATTTTCTGTCCTTTTCCCCTTCCTGTTTCACAATTCTTGCTTCTCCTCTACTGTGAATCTCTTCCAGTTCAAAAAAAATGGTAGACTATTGCTTGTAACATAGGTAACAAACCCCTCACTTCCAAAAGCAGGCCCAACAGTATTTTTTTTTTTTTTTTGTCGGTCATGGGGCTTGAACTCTGGCCTGGGTGCTGTCCAGCTCTTTAACTCAAGGCCAGTGCTCTACCACTTGAGCCACAGCACCACTTCCACAACAGTACATTAATTTACTCTTTAACTGGATACTGGAGGCCTCTCAGAGAAATCACTATCCCCTAGGATACCTATGCCTCTCTGAGAACTCAGAATCCAAAGATCCAATCTGGAACTCCAGGGGTCTCCTTACCTTGAGCCAACGTTGTAAATGTTGTACTGTAGGGTCAGGTCTCGCCCCTCCACAGCATATCTGTTTAGCAGCGATTTGGAAGCCAAAAGCCTGGCTCCTTCCTCTGCTTGAGTGACAGTTAATAGAGCCAACACCACAAATATCAGTAGCCTCATCTTTGGAGAAAAAAAGCAAAACCAGCAATCAACCCAGGTAGGTAAACGCTTTTGATCCTATCAAAACAGCAGTCCCTTCCACAGTGAACTGCACGAGCCGCCAGCTCTTATCTATTCTCCAGACTCTCCTACATCTCTGCCCAAAGCCAGTCCTAGCAGTATCCACGGTCCTATTCCTGTCAAGAACCCCGGGTGCTCACCCAACTGATGCGAGTCTTCTTAGAGGGTGTGACGTGGCCAGAATAGGGGTTTCCTTGGGGTACCAGCTTTCTGCCGATCTCTGATCTGCAGCAGCCTCTAGCATTCCCTCACAGTGGGGTCCTCCTCGGCTGCAGCCTTTCTGCGGCTCCTCTCTTCCCCACGTCCCTGTATGCCTCCCCACTAAGCCATGCCCAGGATCCCCTGCATCCTCATCCCCCCCCTCCTTCCCCATTCCTGTCCCAGGCTGGCGGGTTGGGGGAGGGCGCTCAATACGCTCGCCCCGCTCCCGGAATCCCGTCAGGGGTACCCTCCCGCCAGCGCGCTCTCTGCCCTCTTTATGCTGACCCCAACCGCTGACTGACGTATGGACACGAGTTCCTTCCCCGCTCCTACTGGGACAGACTAAGTCTCGGGACTCACCATGCGCACCCCAAAAGCTTTTCTAGGGCCACACGACCGGAAGGGAACGTCAGCACCCGAAGAGCCGGAAATAAACTCTGGCCGGAAACCCTGGTACTTCTCTCTGCCCAATGTCTTCTGGGAGTTGTAGTTCTTGCGTAAACCCCACCCCGCCCTTTGTAGTGCTCACTAGCCTGGAGAATGTGAGCAGTCCCAAAGCAGGGTCAACTGGGCCACGCCTTTTGTTTGTTTTTTGAAATGGCCCTGGCACTAGAACTCAAGGCCTGACCGCTGACTCTGAGCTTTTTTTTTTTTTTGGGT